AGTGGAGTAAGCGAGGTACGGTACGGCATATTAGATAGTACCAGGGTACGTTCCGGTAGGCGGTATACCGGACCGTACCCAGGCCAGGGTACGTTCCGGCAGTACCCCGGGGGACATAGACCCTCTCAAGCACTAGTACTATGACTAATTAGTTTTAATATAGGTCCCTACGTGTACATCTACATACCTATTAGTAACACGAGCAAAATAAATGGAATTAGACCTAGTTTAGTTAATTCTATCACCTCGGTACCTGTTTTACCTCTACGATCATGAAAGACTAACGNGTAAAGCGGGGGCACATCATGTGTAAGAAAGCGTCTGATTGGGTAAAAATAGCTAAAAATTTTCCGCGGTAAAATCATAAGGTAAAATTGATTTTATCAGTAAAAATAATTATTTCTGCGTGCAATGGCCAACAATCATTTCTGAGTACGATATAGTCAACCATGATAAATGCTAACATTTACGATGATATGTCTGAATCTATGTGACTGTCACGAATCTATGGCTGAAAATTACTTCAGCAATAACTTTATTTGCCGCAGTTTGTGTCTCACTACCCCACTCCCCAGTGCCAGAGGCAGTGTGCTGCAGCAGTGTGCTGCATGTCTATCATCATGTCTTCCATCCTAACATCGTAATGATTAATCATTGAGTCCAAGAAACTACCTACTATACCGAAGACAGAAAGAGACAAAGTTGCTCATATAGATATTTGATCCAGTTATAAATTAAAAGAATGTCAGACGGTTGGGTTCATTACACTGTAAGTTACATAATTATTATTTATAATTTATAACTTGTGTAACTGTAAGTGTGTGTAACTGTGTATAGCCTAAGTAATAGTATTAACTATTATAACGATTGTACAAGAACATGATTATCGCTGAGTACAACTTACAATCAAGTACAAGTATATTACTTATTAGTTGTAGTTTTACTGTAGTGTAAATGATGGTATGTGATCTAGCATAAATGTACTGTATTACTGTACTGTGTTACTGTATTAATAGTACACTGCCACTGGTATATAAAGTAATAAACCAGAGTGTAATTTATAAAAACAGTTTTATGTTGTAGGTATTATATACACGTCAGAAGACGAAGAAATCAAAGACTTGGCACGATGGATTGCTAAAAGTCTCCACACAGGATAAACGGGTTATGCTTCTTGTTCTATAAATAGTCTTCATGCTATACATATATTGCCTATCATGTGTTGTAATCACCTTGAAGATTGATAAGTTTTGTGTATAATTTATTATTCTTGTTTACTCTAGGCAGTCCTGTTTGATGATAAAAACGTCAAGCTTGATACAATCTACGTCAGAGCTAACCAGGTTTGTTTGGCTGATGTATTTCTTAATTTAATATACCGATTTTTCGCAATCACAGTTTTTAAAACGCTCCTATATCATATGTATGTATCCTATTCACCCCCTAATGTTTTAGGTAATAATCTGAAAAAATGCTTTGTGTGCATTATAGTCTTTCGACCTACCAGATATAGGATCATCAAAAATAAGATTGATGACACGTACCTTTGCTTTAATTGTTTCTAGGGCTTTCATTCCCTTAATTTCTTCTGTTTCATAATCCCTCCTTGCTCTTCATATCGGTTAGTTTATAGTATACATAGGCTATTCTGCTGAGGTGGATATAATACCACTTGAGAGTTAATAATGACAAAATGAAAATTTGTTATTGTTAACTCCTGATAATACCGAACTGTAGCCAAAATATCTTAGCTACAATAATGTCGGTTACCCTCAGCTTACAGTAGGTAGGGCGGTTTTGGGTTAGGGTGGCTGTGAAATATGGTATTTTAGTAATTTAAAAAAATTCATTACATTGAAAATCTGAGCACAGAATAACACCGTCTGAATATACTCTATTCATAATGAGTCATAGCATCATGAAGTAACGTTTTTAACTTTGAGCTGTTTTACGCGAATAAATTCAACACGTAGTTATTGTGTTAAATTCTTGCCGTTAGGTTGCGTGCGGTGTGGACCTAGAGAGCGACCATTACCTGGTTACTGTCGAAGAACAGCGAGTTGGGGGTGCTAGCAATCAAAACAATAGCCAGCAGATACAGCCAGTGGTTGCACCCCCTGTCACCCATCAAAGAGAAGATGACAGACCCTTGCAGAAAGTGGTGCAGTCTAGATATGCATCTAGTAATCCGCAGGTGGATGGAATTAGTAAACCGAAAGTGGCACCACGATTTCCAACGGCGAAGCGAAAAAGGGTAAGTTTCTACCTAGACACAAATCATGGTTACTCTCGGGCAATATAGTAATATGAGTAGGAATATCTTGACCAAATTATGTTACCAAGTCTTACCAAACCTTAACCAAGTCTGTGCTTCAAGTCAATTAACTTTCAGCCGACATGGGTAGAATCGAGTAGGATATGCTGGTCAACTTGTGTCTGTAGTTGTGAGCCTTTGCTTGAACGGTCATGATATAGCGGTCAGGAAAAAAGTCGAATGACAGCTGTTGTTTGCGAAATCTCGTGTCTCGAGTTTGAGTTGCCCATTTCGCGTGCTTCAGTTGACTACGTCACGAATTTTCTAGTGTATATTTAGAAAAATTTTGTTGCCATTTTTTACATTAAAAGTAAGTACCTACTAATGCGGCTAAGTGTATCATCAAATTCTTACCTGATAAGATTGTTTCTCAACTAGTTAAAAATCCAAAAAACCTGGACGATTTGATATTATGATCCTAGCTGACATTAATTGCTTGCTATGGGCTATGTATGAGTCACGAGTGTATGTTCACATCGAACAATATAGTAAAATAGGAAGTATAATGCAGCAATTTAACCATAAAAAGTGAACAGAATTACTTACATTTTGTGAAAAAGTGGAAATATTTTTTTACTTTTACTATATTTACGGTGACATAATCACTTTCAGGTGTTTATCCCTCCAAGGGTCGTCAAACAGCAAAAGGTGGAACACTCGGACACAGCTCACACGTCTGCTGCTCTGCGCACGCACATGTCCGGCCCGACGCGTGGTTCTGGAGACGTCATCCGACAACAGCCGCCATCCTTCGCACAAGGGCAGGCGGCTATGATGTCCTTGTGGACCACGCCTGGTTCAGCTGCCGGCGGTGTTGTCGATCGGCCGTGTTTGCTTCCTGGTGGGCGGCTCGTCGCGGTGTCCGTGGGGAGTCCAGAGCAAAAGGTGGAAGGGGTGGTGGCTGCTGAGGACAACAACAGTATTGCTCAGATGCTGGGCAGCCTGCTGTCTGAGGCACTCTCCCGCTCCGTCCCCCATGGGGAAGGATGCGACGTGGAGAGAGAGGGCGCCACTGCACTCTCCCGCTCCGTCCCCCATGGGGAAGGATGCGACGTGGAGAGAGAGGGCGCCACCGTGCTCGCACCTCAACAATTGAAGCCAGGGGCGGACCATCAGGAGGGAGATGCATGGAGGGAGGCTGAGGAGTGTTCGTGGGTCGACCCAGCCACTCATGGACGTGGTGATGACGACAAAGTTGGCTTCTTGCAACGCGTCACTGAAGCCACATCGCAGAACCATCTGGATGCAGAAGGCGGTGAAGATGTGTTGCTGAGGTGGGCAGATGCGGAGGAGAGCGAAGCGATGCTAGAGCCTAGCACGGATGCGAAAGAGAGTAAAGGTGCGTTGCTAAGACGCACCGGTGCGATAGCAACTGAAGCGAAGCTGCAAGTAACTGCAAGAGAGAGTGAAGCTGTGGTACAGAGTCGATTGGATTTTCGAGACCAGGAGGCCATGGCGGAAAGGCGGAAGAAGAATGCGGAACGTGACACGGGGTTAAGGGGCCAGGGTACTGCTGGAGAGAGTGAAGCCATGTTTGAGAGTTGGGTAAATGTAGAAGGAAGTGATCATGAGACTGTGTTGCAGAGTAGGTCAAATGGTGGAAGGAATCGGGCAACAGACGAAGTTGAAGATGCTGAAATAGACAAGTTGTTTGCACTTGTTGCATCTACTGCCCCAACTGTGCCTCCACAGGCGGTGCCACTTGTTGGTCGGCAAGGGTCATGGATTACACAGGGTAAGACCCAGCATGTGTCACAGCCTGACACACAGGGTAAGACCCAGCATGTGTCACAGCCTGACACACATCTTACGACCCAGCATGTGTCACAGCCTGACACGCAGGGTAAGACCCAGCATGTGTCACAGCCTGACACACAGGGTAAGACGCAGAATGTGTCACAGCCAGCAGGAGAAACCGTCCAGCCGGCATTTGATAATGATATCTCGTTTGAAATCGGCGGCATGGATTTTTTCGATGACGACAGTCAAGATTCGCGCGTTTGTGAACGAGCCAGTGAGCACAGTCCTTCTCATACGTGTGATAAAGCTGGCGGTAGTGTGAGAGTGAGCACAGAGCTGTCACCACCAACGCTTGCTCGTAATCTGCTCTCCAGCCAGCACGAGTCCGCCGCTAACGTGGCAGCCGCTGTCGCAAGACCTGCCTCTATGCAGACGACAGATATGCCCTCCCAGAAATGCGGTGACGATTCTCGACGGAAACGTAGTGGTATCGCTGCTGGAAATGGCCATTGTGATGTTCTCGCTGATATCCAGCGGCATGATGTAGCGTGCCACGACCAGCAGCATGATGTAGCGTGCCACGACCAGCAGCATGATGTAGC